CACAACACATAACAACAAGCATAGAAACAAAATTGAAAGAATATAAAGTCAATTAAAGGGAGAGAGAAAAATTCATATCCAATTTATATTGGTTCAGTCACATCTACTTGTGACCTACATCTAGTCCCCTATCAAACCGATTGAGATTTTTCACTAATCTTTAATATTAAAAGTTTTACAGTCACAATACCACTACAATACACTTCTACACTATTAAAGAAACCACTTCTTGCACCCCAAGAAGTATTCACTTGTAGCACCTTACTACAAGATTCTTCCTTCTTAAGAAACCTACTTAAGAAAAACAACCAATATAGAAGTTAAGGAACGAATTCACCTGATGTACAGAACATATCAAAGTAGGTAAATCAACCAAATAGATTAACCTTTCACTCCATGAACATGATGATCAATTCAATTCTTGAAATCTTTTTTGAAGTTACCACAAAGGTTAAAGAAGCTCTTCTTGCAAAGAAAAATGTTTCTCAGAGAGTATTTTCAAAAGAGATATCACAATGATTCAAGTACCTCTTATATATATATATATATATATATATATATATATAAGTTTTCTAACTGAAATAATATATTATTTACATGGATAATCGATTAATTTGTTCTTAGCAAATCTAGAAATCAACCAAAAATAGTTCAATCAATTATTTTGAGCAATAGTTAATTATTACAGTAACTACTCCTTAGGTTACTAAAAAATAGAGCAAATAATTGATTATTACTTAAGATAATCGATTATTTTAAGTGAAAACTTAATATCTGAATTTTTCATACCATTTTTCTTTACAAATCAAATCTAACACTTATCTTAATCATCAATCACCATCTAGATAGAGACAAAAGGCTAAGTTACTTACTAAGTACAAAGCACACAAGTAACCATGCTTAAGACACACAAAACAAGATACACATTGCACTCTTATCTATCAAGAGGCTCAAAACTCAAAACAAACTACAAGTTGCTCTCTTATCTTTCAAGAGGCTTATTTGTAATCATCAAAACAAACTAAGACCACGTTTCCATCTTGAACTTGATCAACAAACTCCCTTTTTTTAATGATAAAAAGTCATCCTTTTACTTGTTTTGATTAATCCTTTTTAAACCAATCGTATTCTTCTATTTGTATTCTATCTTTTTGTTAAAACAACTTGTGCTCTTGTTTCTTCAATACTTTGATTTGATTTGACTTGTGCTCTATCTTTTTAAACCAATCATCCTTTTACTTGTTTTGATTCATCCTTTTTAAACCAATCAATACTTTTTAATGCAAAATTTAATCAATTCAAATATTTGATTTGATGTTCTCACTAATTAAATAAAATTTACAAAATTTCATATAATCATAAAATTATTTGGTAGTTCATCTTATCTATTTATTTTAACATATAATATCCAAAATATATGTAAATATCTATTGTTTTGATAACATATCTAAAAGAGTCCAAAACATATGAAATTTTATGTATATGATCATGAGTATAATATCATATAATTTAACTGCTAGATCAATTAAATTTGCATTTTATAAAATGCTATTGAGGTTTGAAGGTATATACTCAACTGAGAACACTTGCTAATATGAGAACATGAGAAATATATATAACAACCTTTAGATTAAACAAGTTAGATTATAATATTACAAATAAAGTTATCATCTACCACTACAATCGTAGTTCTCTCTATCATTATTGTCATCATCATCGTTATTTCAACTGACACTACCTCCATCGTTATGACCACTATCGTTGCCTTTCTTATTATTGTTGTCACCACTACCATCGTCTATGGTGGCAACAGTGGTGGTAGTGGCGATGACAGTGACAATGGTGGTGGTGATGGTCGTAGTGGTGGTGGAGGTGATGGTGATGATGGTTGCAATAACAGTGATGATGATAACTATAGTAGTGAGAACTACAATAATGATAGTATTTGGTAACTTTATTTTGTAATCTTTCTATCTAAATTTTTATTTATATTAATGGTAGGGATGACAACAGGGAGAAGACAAGTAGTAGCTCCTTGTCACCTGTCCTATTTAGTGTTGTATCCATTTAGTTGGTATCCATGATTTTTTATATATTCGTAGATATTCGAAGGTATACGTAGATATTTGAGAAAATGACTTTTAACTAAAAAATAAGAAATAAAATAAAATAAAAATATAATAATTTGAAAACATATGTTTATATTAAAAATAAATTTTTAACATATATTTATACTAAAATAAGTAATTGTGACACATATATTTAGTGTAAAAACAAATTAAACTAAACTACTTTATATATGATTATGAGTATTTATAACATTTTTAAAGTGTAGGTACAAGTACCTTACAATCTATCCTCATCTCATAATTAAGCGAGTACTCATTTAATTATCCATTTAAAATCTATAGCAGGTTGTATTTGTGGGCATGAGTTTTTTCGTCATCTCTATTTAAAAGTCGTTATTAGTTATTCTTATATTAACAAGTGTTACACACACACATATAAAGTTTTGGTTGCTCCTAATTTAGGTTGGGATAGGTGGAATTAAGGTGAGTTTTGGGCCATGAAGCTAGATATCCTAACAATGGAAAAATATCGATGTTGTACATGTATCAAACACCAATATGGCTTAAAAATGTTGAGATATGTATCCAAAATGTATTTGATTATTTTTTATTTCTTTTTTAAAAAAATTATTCGATACGACTTTAATACAACTCCAATATGGCTCGTAATGATTGGATATGACTTTATAATAAGTGAGACAACTTGGATACATTTTTTAAAATAGGGGTGGGTTTTTTCAAACCTTTTTTACCCAAATGTTTTTTTATTAATATTTTAAATTCTTTTAATTTTAAAACTTTTAAAAGGGAAAAACCTTTTAAAAGTGAATTTTCATACACTACACGACAAAGACACATTTACGCAACACTTCGTATTTCATTTCTTTATGTAGTGCCTCTCCTTCCATATATTATCTCTTCTTCTCTCAACTCTGCATATTTCGACAACAATGGTCTTCTTTTTTTTGGTTGGTATCTCTTTCTGGAAGCTTTCTCTCCAGTGGTGCATGATATCTTTGACTCTCCCTTCAAACAACAACTTTTCTCCTTTCTTGTGTTTTTGCACATTCTTCTAACAAGGGTTTTTTTTCTCTGACAATCAAGTCTCTTTTCTCTTTGATGGTACAAGGTCATCTTCTATTGGTTCTAGATTTTGGGTTTTTTTTCACTAACGAATTTTTGGTTTTTCCACGATTGTGGTTTGTCCTCTAGTGGATTTTGGGTCTCTTTACTAATTATGTAGAAAGTTCAATCTTGTGGTTATATTCTAATTGTGAGCATATGCACTCTAAATATTTGATTATTACCTCTATTTCTTGAGAGAGAAAAAATTCTACTATTACTAGTAGGTTTGCTTTGTTAAGTCAGACGAAGCAATTTTCAGCAAGGTTTTGAATGAAATAAATATAATACATATTGTTATTTTTAACAAGTGTGTTAGTGTTTCAGAAAAATATAAGTACAGGCAAGTTGAAGAATAGAGTATATGTATGTGCCACTTCCTACACGAGCAACCAAGATAAAGGATAAAAGTCTCAAGTATCAGACATAGACGAAAGCTTCAAAACATCAGATGAAATCCATACAAACATCAAGATGAAGTCCAATGGTCAACTCAGATGAAGAATAGTCAAGGAAAGGCACATCAAGAGTGTCAGACGATGAATGACATAAGATGAAGAATCGTCTTAGACGGAATCAAACGTCTTCCATCTTCACGACTAAACAGATGAAAGGGAAAGTCAAATCAGACTAAAGAAAAGGTCAACCTAGATGAAAGGGAAAATCAAACCAAGCAGAAAGAAAAGACAAAGTCTATCTCTTAGACAGAAACTAAAATTCTAGACTCAGACAAAGAATATTGCAAAGTGTTTGAAGTCCACTATTCAGAACAAGAAATATCACACATCGTCTACACTCATAAGAAGAGCACACGAAGTCATAAATAGTGTGAAAAGAAAGAAGAAACATAGACAAGCACAAGACGACAACAAATCTCGAACAAAGATAAGTCAAGGAAAAGGTCAGCATAAGGATCACACGAAGAAGTAAACAAAGCTACATGATAGAAAGATTATGAGATGTGCGCCAGATGACTATGAGTCTAATATCGGATGAAGATATGTCAAGGACAACCTAGAGCGCAACATAAAGACTCAGATAAAGGTTGGTCAAAGAATCGGAAGAAAAGCTTTAAGCCAGACGAAAAGACAACAAATACAAGAAACGTACTACCAGTCGAAGTCTTGAAGTATCAAATGGAAAACTCAACGAAGCCAAACCAAGCACAAGAAGGAAAATAATCCCAAGTCAGACGAAAAGCCAACACAAGTATCAGACGATGGATAATCTAAGATGAAGCATCCAAGATGAAATTAAAAGTTTTCCATCTACACAGCTGACCAGACGAAGGTTGGTCAAAGATTAAAAGAAAGTCAATAACATATCAGACGAATGACAGCTCAGATTGAAAAGTGTTCCAAACGAAAACAAAGTCTATCCATTCACAATGATTAACCAGGTCATAGAAAGTCAAAGCATTAATGAAAAAATGTTCAGACAAAGATCAAAAAGTGAGACGCATAGGACTAACAGACGCAGATGGAGACTACCATGCCAACACTTAAAAAATAAGTCTCAAAGGACTACTCAGGCATCGTCTATGAACATACAAGAGCTCTCAACATGATCGAGTGAGCAAAGGAAGAATAGAAAGAGAAAAGAAAGCGCAGAAGCAAAAGCATGCATGTGTCAGAAAAAGTACATTACTTTTTCAGATAAGAACAACGCTCTACAGCTATGCGATCAGAAAAGGACAAAAAGGTTCCTAGGTCTCAGCTAAAGTCAGACATAATAACTAACAAACGTGGAAGACTTCACGCAATGTTTACAAACAGGAAGCAACATTTAATCCTTCCGATCTCATAAATATAAGGTTGTTACTTTCAATCAACCTATGTGCAATATCTCTATTTATTGGACAATCTCGTCCACTTCAGCAGTTTTGATCACCTTTTTATTTGTATGATTGCAAAGCATGCAATTATTGGAACTACAGCTGCATGCATCCCCGAATCCCACAGTTGGTGTCCAGAAAATACAACAAAACTTGCCTCCATGAACCATCTCCTTTCGTTTCCGATATGGTCTTGATGCAAATCTTCTTTGATGTTGTCTCAGTCAACGTGGTAGAGGAACTACCATGGTTCAGAGTTATTACCAAGATAATTCCTGGCATAAGATGGCCGAGTCCACCCATGCTCCATCAAGACGAGATTCAAGCGCATCATCAGGTTATCCACAGCATCTTCTTCCAGGCTGATAAGAGAGTTTGATGATGACGTCTCTTGTGTAGATGAGTTCTGCAAAAATTGAATGGTAAACACCTCATTCAGTTAACTTTGAAAAACAGTCACATGCAGTGCATACGATCGTAAATGTACCTTTAGTTCCCGGTACTTCTTCAGATATTCCAGTGACTGCTCATATAATCCACAATGATAGAGAAGAATGCTGTAATCTCTTAACTCATTTGCATCATTTTTCAGCAGGATAAGACGTTCACATGCTGAAAAGATAGGGAAAATATTTGGGATCATATCGAAACGTAATAAAATGTAATAATTGTTGGTAATTTCAAATATTGTTGCTCCATGTTAGCAAAATTGACAGACAGAAGACAAATGCTGAGGAATAAGGTCCAAAACACATGTTTGAATATCCAGAAAATATCTCTTATAAAAACTGCAGAGTATCATCTGATCTACGAGAGCTCACGGGGGTTTAGCTGATCCTCTGCGACTGAGCTATTAATTGCTAGTTCCAGACAAAGAGTCAGATCTTTCTTTTCTAGATTAAATTAAAAGTTTAAAACCAAATATTGATAGGGTTTGGCTAGATAGCACAGAACAATTGAAGCTACAAAACAGGGTGTCAGCATGTAAACCGCTAAATCAATCTCTTCAAGAAAAAAGTGATTTGGTTTCTCCAAAGTGAGGCGTGTGCTTAAGTCTGGAGTTAAAACCTTTTTGTATACACAAAATTTTGGACTAGTTTACTCTTATAACTACATCTAAATTAGTTTCTATTTTATTTATTTATTTATTCTCTCCCTTATTTTTATTTGATCGTGACATTAGCAGTTTTAAAATCTCTCACTTTAAATAACCACTCATTATTTTTTTTTTCTCTCTTCTTTTAAATAGAGGTACAAAGTGCCTCTTTTCTCTATAGTTTAAATAACCTCAGTATTTGTGATAAAACTGACAAGAAAATGAATATTTTTATTAAAGAAAATGAGAGTTCTGACCCTACAACCAATTAAACTTCAATAAAACAAGTTTCTGCTTACCTTTTCTGTCTACCCTGCTCTCTTGTATACTGCCATTCACCCAATTTTCTCACTGATTACCAAATCCCCAAGCCACTTATCCCCATTCGGTTATGATAGTCTCTCTCGGTGCATAGAATATTCCACCTCATGTCCCTTTCTGTTATTCTTCATTTTCCTTTCTTAAACCCGCAAATCATTGCTTTTTTGGCATATCTAGTTTCCCCGTTTACAATGGGCATAAATATCAGTTGATTCAGTTTAATGCATATATTCATGTATTTTTCATTACAATGTCAACCATTGATTAGAAAATAAAAAATGTTTATATTACTCCCTAATTTTCCCTCGAAAGTGCACCATTGCTATAAAGTAGCCAAATTCAAAAAAGATTAAGAGATATCATCATAGTTCAAAAATTTCCAAAACTACAGAGCGGAGAAAACATCCTAAACAAACTTTTCTTATGAATGAAAAATGAGCAAAAGTAAGGCCTTAATAATAAAAAAAACAATAATCAAATAATATCTAGTATTTATTGGCATCTAAATAGAGAGGAACCACTTATGAATTACCCCTTATCTCCCTTTTCTCCAATAATAAATGAATAAAGATTTAATTACTCTTTCAATCCCTATAGTTTCATAAATTGTGTACCTTTTAGTCCTTACAGTTAAAAACGTTCCATTTCAATCCTTGTAGATACAATTTTTTTTTGCCTTTTAGTCCTTGTCATATATTTTATAAGGACTAAAATATAAAGTTTATGAAACTACAAAGACTAAAAAGAAACAAAAATAGTATGTATAAAAATTTAAATAAAGTATATTTAATTATAGGGAATAAAAAGGTAAAATTCATGAAACTATAGGATTGAAAGGGTAATTGAACAAAAAATAAAAAGTAAAAGGAGTACATAGGAGATGAGATTTATCATCCAGCTTTTATCCCCCACAAAACAGTACTCCAATGGTGAACTTTTCATTTCTCCGTTGTAGCAACATCCAAATGCAAACTATTATAACTAATTGAAACTGAAAATGGGGAATGTAACAAAATTCAAAAAAAAAAAATTATAATTTTTGACTGGTAAAAAAAGGATTGTAATATTAATTTAGAGGCAGTTGGTGCGACAGTTGATGAAAGGGTCGCAATGTTAATATAGAGGCATTTGGTGCGACAGTTGATGAAACGGTCGCAATTCCAATTTTGCGACGGTTTGTGCAACGGTTCTGATAACCGTCGCAAAATTGCCTGGTGACGGACGACTCTGCGACGGTTCCCAAACCGTCGCAATGTTGTCTTTGCGGCAGTTATAACCGTCGCAATGTAGGTCATATAACCGTCGCAAAATCGTCATTTTCTTGTAGTGAATGCAAGATCTTGAGCATTGAATGAAAGATCAAACTAGTCATGAACGACTACATCTGCTTCAACGAACACTTGCAACGGGCAAATTCTACAAGACTATATATATATCACTACTTCAAAGCTTGAAAGGTTGGCTTTTGAAAAAGATTAAAAAAGGAGTGATATCAAGCCCATGAAGTAACAAAGCCAGAGACAGAGCGTATAGAGTCAAATGTACCATAGTGTATTCATCTTTGTAGACTAAGGTGTTCTAAGTGTAACTTAGGAACCGGGTACCTTAGTGAGTGTACAAATATATGTATCCTCTCTGTGAGAGTAAACCAAACACTCAATCGTTGTAAAACGAAGTTTGCATACCTTAGTGAGTGTTGTAAACCTTTGTATCCTCTCTATGAGAGTAACCCAAACACTCAAACTAAAATATCTATTTATCATTTGTAAAGCTTGAAGAGGCTAGGGAAAAAATACTTGTACAACCCTAGAGAGGCTTATCAAAGAATACTCACTACGAGCCAAAAGTGGCTAATTAAAGAATACTAGCGCTATTGGTGAAGTTAACGGGCCATGAGGTGGTCGATAATACTCACTGAGAGCCAAAAGTGGCTGATCAAAGAATACTAGTGTCAACGAGTGAAGTTGACGAACTAGGAGTGGTTAAGAATACTCAAGACCAGGAGTGGTCGTGACCTGGGTGGTCTATAATACTCACTGAGAGACAAAAGTGGCTGATAAAAAAATACTAGCATCGACGAGTGAAGTTGACGAACCAGGAGTCGTTAATAATACTTGGGACTAGGAGTGGTCGTGACTTGAGTGGTCTAGAATACTCACTAATAGCCTAAAGAGGCTGATTAAAGAATACTAGAGCCAATGAGTAAAGTTGGTCGACCAGGAGTGGTCGTGACCTGGGCGGTCTATAATACTCACTATGTGCCTGCAGAGGCTGAACAAACAATACTTGTACTTCATTGAATATCTAGTGGAACCCTTCATTTGAAAGAGACTGGACGTAGCTCAGGTTGAGCGAACGAGTGTAAAAATACTTGCATTATTTTTCTATGCTTCAAACACACTTTTACGTAGTTGATTGAACTTACTGAAAACTTCGTCTAATGCTTATCGTCCACTACAATCGTCAGACAAAAACCACACTTGTTTAACTTACTATTTTAAAGAATGGTTTTCGTTTAAGAATCACTTTCCCTGTGCAGAAGATAAACTCTCAAACGCAAAAATCTATTGATTGAACCAATCTTGCATAGTTACTACTAAGCATTCAAAATAACATTTTTACTGGACGAAGAATAACTCCCTTGCGAAAAAGTTTTAAAATACCTTTGTTCACACTTACACATATTCAACCCCCCTTCTATGTGTTTTTCCACATACTTAATGCTTCCTCATAACCTCAATATGATCATGCACCATTATGGCCATTTATTACTATAAAGGAAAAGGTAGGAAATGAGGGTGACAATAAGCTATGGAGTTGCATTTTTGTGAAAAAATAATTAAAATAATTTTGAGTGTTGAATTTCTATTTGCCCTAAAGTTAATGTTGCATATTTGACTGATTGAAAAAGAGTTTTTAAAGATGCTAAAATTAAAGTCGAAGAATGGTTTATTACCTATTGATAAAATGACTGCAATGCCATCTATGTGACACCCTTACTACCCCAACACATATCTTGTAATAATGTAAATAAAACTAATGAATAAAATTTTCAACATTGGTAAAAAGGGTTCACATAAAATCTTCACAACTGTTCTTCAATGTCCAAAATAATTGAAAACAAAACTTGGAAAATAAAACCTAAGAGTTTACAAATTATTTTAAAAAATAATAAGTAAAACTCCAAATCCATATAAAAATCCATGTCCTAGAAATCCTCTGCCCCGATGTCACAATATCAGAGCATACCCACAATTCAACTGTTGGCATTCTAAATTCCACTCATAGCCGGATCCTCCTCACCTAAAACATCCACAAATTGTACGGTGAGAAAAGAAAACATCTATATGTAAAGCACACAAGGAAAATTCACAACATAATCTCATCATAACTCATTACTTAATAAAATATTCACAACCATTTCTATATATATATATATATATCTAAATTTTATCAAACATGCATCATATTCACATTACAATTCACAATCATACCAATCTATCCCAAATCTTGCAATCAACACTATGCCAAGGTCGCGCCTTCCCTGACATACGTGTTAATTTCCTCACACATCCCACACTATGCCAAGGTTATACCACCCCTGTAGCATCTCTTTTCCCAAGGTCGTGCCACTCCTGACATAAGTGATACGTGTTAATTGCCTCACACATCCCACATTATGCCAAGGTCACGCCATCCCTGTAGCATCACTTACCCAAGGTCGTGCCATCCTTGACATAAGTATGAGGAACCACAATCACATTTATTCATAATCACACAAATCTTACAATTAACACTATGCCAAGGTCACGCCACCCTTGTAGCGGCTCTTTGCCCAAGGTCGTGCCACTCCTGACAAGTGATACATGTTAATTGCCTCACACATCCCACACTATGCCAAGGTCACGCCATCCATGTAGATGACTTACCCAAGGTCGTGCCATCCTTGACATAAGTGCGAGGAACCACAATCACATTTATTCATAATCACACAAATCTTACAATTAACACTATGCCAAGGTCACGCCACCCCTGTAGCATCTCTTGGCCCAAGGTCGTGCCACTCCTGACAAGTGATACATGTTAATTGCCTCACACATCCCACACTATGCCAAGGTCACGCTATCCCTGTAGCATCACTTACCCAATGTCGTTCCATCCCTGACATAAGTGTGAGGAACCACAATCACATCACATTCACATTCAACACAACATCACATTTCATGTCAACATACTCACATCATAATCAACTGAACAATTAAGTCATAATATACCATTCGCCACATCATGTTATCAATTCAATACCAAAACGGTAGATATAATGTATACATTTGTGCGAAGACATCACACCACATTCCATAACTCAATTCCACATCTAGATCATCAATTTTTACCAAATATTATAACAATAATATTTATAAATTAATATAAAACTCGATTGAATCACCAATTTAATATAATCTTAACTCAAATAGTAAAACCCCCAATTTTTCCAAAAGCTAACTCACAGGCACTTTTTTACAATTTTGTTCTCTCTCCCAAATCATAATTTTTACAAATTATTTACATATTCCTAATCCTCAATACATGCAAACTCTAATGGGATCATCAATTCCTCAAACAGAAATAATTATAAAATTACCCATAATCCTACAGAATTCCTCCTCTACCCAATTCCCCCGTGTAACTTTGCATACAAATAATTCCCTTTTCCCCCATACCTCGATAAGCAGTAGCTGGAACTAAAGCAAGATCTGGTTGGTCTTCTCTAGGTTCCCCTCGGTCTTTAGAGAGTGTAGAATGAAAAGAAGTTAGAAGTGAAAAAATGTCCTTTTGGGAGTGCTAGAGGGTGTTATTTATAGACATCAAGAGTTGCCAGAATGGCCCGTTTCGAATCTGGAACGGCCCGTTCTAGACTCATTTGTCATGTGTAAAATTCACATCCAGAACGACCTATTCTTAAACCAAAACGGTCTGTTCTGAAGTTGCATTTTAACTCATAATGATCATGTTTGGAACGACTCGTTCTTAAACTAGAACGACCCATTCCTAACTAGGGTTACAAGCCTTTTTGGTGATTTGGAATGCCCCGTTCCAGTTGGGAATGACCTGTTCCCAACTAGGATTTATAAACTTTTTAGTAGTTTGGAACGACCCGTTTTAAATTGGGAATGGCCCGTTTTGAGCTACTAAATCACCCTTACTGAGCTTTGGGCCTTCATATAATTTATGAAAGTTGGGGTGTTACAATCGAGATTACCACCAAAAATAAAAAGAAAAGGAAATATAGAAAATGCATTTAATGTTGAGGATAGGAGTCATTTTAGAATATAGATAGAAAGAATGTTTTATTCTGACAGCCTTTCATTTCGTCTTGTTAGAATTCCACATTTTATTAGTTATTATTCATTTGCTGCTAATAGAAATCTTAATGGTTTCTTCCTCCTAGTTATAATGCATTAGGAACTAGTCTTTTACAACAAGAGAGAACTCATATTGAGAGGTTGCTTCAACCTATCAAATAATTGTGGACTTTCAAAGGAGTTACATTAGTTGTTGATGGTTGGATAGATTCTCAAAGAAGACCTCTGGTAAATTTCATGGCTACATGAGAAGAACCTATATTTTTAAAATTATTTTGAATGATATATGGTGGAATAAAGTAGATTATATCTTTTCTTTTGTAAATCCCACATATAGCATCACTATTAGAATATTGGACACCAATGCTTCTATTCTTCATTTGGTGTATGAAATGTGGGATTCTGTGATAGAAAAGGTGAAGGTAGTCATCTATAAGCATGAGGAAAAGCAAGCAAATGAAGTATTCAACTTCTATAATGTTGTTTATGATATCCTCAATTATAGGAGGTGCAAGAGTAGTACTCCTTTTCATTGCTTAACTCATTCTTTAAATCCAAGGTAATATTTTTAAGCCAATTATTAATGAATATCTTTTCATTGGATAGAAAAATCATAAGATGACTCAATTATCTTTTTTTTTTATTTTTTTTTATTAATAGGTAGTATAGTGAAGTATAGCTTAGTGAAGCTCACTAAAGCTCTTAATAGGGTTTATCCTTCTCAAGATGGTGAAGTTTCTAGAGAGAGGAACAAATTTCTGAAGAGATATTTTCCACATGTTCAGGAGAGAGAAAATGTTTATGAAGAATTCCCCAAATTATCATTTTATGAGGGTGACTTTAGTTCTTGTGATTCAATTAAGGATAGGTGGGTATTAGATCCAAAAACATGGTGGGTGATGCATCTAATTTATACTCCTCTACTCTAAAAGCTTTCCTTAAAACTTCTTATGCAACTATATCCTTGATCATGTTGTGATTAGGAATTAGAGTACATACTCCTTCATTCATTCTTTGATAGGAAACAAAATAGATCCAAAAGGTTAGAAGATTTGGTTTATCTACACTCAAATCTTTGAATTTTTTCTAGGAAAATTGAAAGTTATAAACAAGCAGAGACAAGACTATGAGATATTAGTGAAGATGTGCATGATCCACTTGATAGTATTGTTGAAATCCTTGAGCTACAAATTTGTCTCTTGATAAGCCATATTTAGAAGCTATATATATATATATATATTATTTTTTTTGATGATGATATTGGAGGGGAAGAAACTGAAAATGTTAGCATTAAGCAGTAATTTAAATTTAGTAACCGCGTTTGAATTGTAAGCTATTGTATAAAGTCGTGACTTATTTTGAGTTCTACCAAAAATACAAATAAACTGTATTTTTTTTGTTTGTTATGATCACAAATATCTTTTTCATAAATTGTGATCATCATAATTATCAGTTATTAATTATGAATTAATAAAATGATCAATCTCTTTTTTTTTGTTTTACCAATATTTTATATTTATATAAAAAATTTATATATTTTTTTTAAAACATATCCATAACGTAGCATATCTTTAATTTTAAAAAATAAAATTGTATCTTTATATCCATATTGTACCGTGCCCGTCTCGTAAGTATACAGACAATAGGTTTTGAATAGTAATTTAGGTCCAAAAGTTTAACAAATCTGATTTAGTTTAGTTCGGCCAGGTAGTCCATATAATTCCAATTGTCACACCTCTCCATCCATTATGTGTAATTCCTTTTAGGATTTTCGAAAGCCCAAACAAACTTTTTGATTTCTTAAATACTATTAAACAAAGTTAATATCACAAATAGTTGGTCCACTTAAGTAAGGTTTTATGTTCTAATCTTTGTGTATAGAGAAAATGTAGTTAAAAGAAAACATCCTACTAAAGATGATCAACTAAATTTTCCTATTAAAATTAGTGATTGATCAAGTTAGTGATATTTCGTATCCATAATATAATTAAAAAAATCAGTTAATACGAATAATCTAAGTATATATATATATTATGAATTATTTAACTACATAGTCCTTAATGGTTATAATAAAGGTATTAGATTTCCAGAGAGAGGGTTTGATTCTAATATCCCACATTTTATTAATTCCTTCTTCAATTTTTGCATGTGACTTAAGTCATCGACCCATTGGAGGAGAGTTATAATTCACCGAAGTGCATCGATTTCTGTGGTTCTTCGTCTTCCTTCTCTACAACCATTGCAAATCAACCATACTGTCAAAATAATGAGGTGCTGCAATGCACCTGTACAAGAGGCCACTTGCAAGTGCCACAACTTGTTTCTTATAAAAGGGAACACGCCAGAAAATGTAAATCATCATTATGATCTTGCCTACCATTTGAAGTTGCCAATAATATTAAGTACCCGAGGTAGGGGACATAAAGGGGCACCAAAAAGGAGCAATACACTCAAAAAAGGGAGAAAGGCAGAAAGTTTGATTTCCTAGAGAGAAATTTTTTAATTATTTTTTTATGAAAATCTATTGGTGTGAAATAGAAAACAGAGGCAAAATGCCCTTTTTGAGAATTATTTTTCTTCTCTTCACCTTTGTGTTTTTTGTGTGCGCGTTGAGCTTGGTTTATGGCACCAAAATGCCTTTTCAAGTTAAAATTATCATCAAATACATCTTAAGTGTCTGATAATTTACAACATTTTCAAGCCTGGCAATCCTCAAGTCACTAATTCTATGCACATTTTATGAATTTTTATGTATAAGCTTCTGTTGATTTCTGTATATTTAATTTTATAAAATAGATTAAATGAAAGCATTTTTTTTCTTTAAAGATCATATCATCATGTGATCCACTATAAATATAAAAATAACCTTGTAGATATAATTCTTCAATTTGAACCCAATTGCCAAATGTATCAACTTATTGTGTAAGGCCAAGTAGACTTGAAATCCACTATGGATAATATCATTATGAGGGCAAAATCTCTACTTCACTTCGGATATTTTAACTTCGCATTCTTTCTGTCAATGTCTTGAACATTGAATGACAACTAGAATATCCAATTCCTAAAATATACATGTGTATGACTTCACAAGATTCTTAATAATATTTTCCTGACATTCTACACTGGTATATCCATACTTAATATGTGATCTAATTACACGTGGATGCATGAAAGTTTCCTTTTTCCTTGCTTGTTGCTTTGGCACTCCTCAAGTGTATATGTGACAAAATGTTGGTTCAACAATACTTCTGTTATCATATCTATATTTGTCAGAGAAAAACCTGTTTGGCTGTTTAGTATATACACGAATTTTACAGAGTAAATGTGCATAAAGGTACATAATTATATAATTACTGGAACACAGGTAATAGAGGAATTTCTTTGCTCCCCTACATAAATATAAGGTTGTTACTTTCAATCAACCTATGTGCAATATCTCTATTTATTGGACAATCTCGTCCACTTCAGCAGTTTTGATCACCTTTTTATTTGTATGATTGCAAAGCATGCAATTATTGGAACTACAGCTGCATGCATCCCCGAATCCCACAGTTGGTGTCCAGAAAATACAACAAAACTTGCCTCCATGAACCATCTCCTTTCGTTTCCGATATGGTCTTGATGCAAATCTTCTTTGATGTTGTCTCAGTCAACGTGGTAGAGGAACTACCATGGTTCAGAGTTATTACCAAGATAATTCCTGGCATAAGATGGCCGAGTCCACCCATGCTCCATCAAGACGAGATTCAAGCGCATCATCAGGTTATCCACAGCATCTTCTTCCAGGCTGATAAGAGAGTTTGATGATGACGTCTCTTGTGTAGATGAGTTCTGCAAAAATTGAATGGTAAACACCTCATTCAGTTAACTTTGAAAAACAGTCACATGCAGTGCATACGATCGTAAATGTACCTTTAGTTCCCGGTACTTCTTCAGATATTCCAGTGACTGCTCATATAATCCACAATGATAGAGAAGAATGCTGTAATCTCTTAACTCATTTGCATCATTTTTCAGCAGGATAAGACGTTCACATGCTGAAAAGATAGGGAAAATATTTGGGATCATATCGAAACGTAATAAAATGTAATAATTGTTGGTAATTTCAAATATTGTTGCTCCATGTTAGCAAAATTGACAGACAGAAGACAAATGCTGAGGAATAAGGTCCAAAACACATGTTTGAATATCCAGAAAATATCTCTTATAAAAACTGCAGAGTATCATCTGATCTACGAGAGCTCACGGGGGTTTAGCTGATCCTCTGCGACTGAGCTATTAATTGCTAGTTCCAGACAAAGAGTCAGATCTTTCTTTTCTAGATTAAATTAAAAGTTTAAAACCAAATATTGATAGGGTTTGGCTAGATAGCACAGAACAATTGAAGCTACAAAACAGGGTGTCAGCATGTAAACCGCTAAATCAATCTCTTCAAGAAAAAAGTGATTTGGTTTCTCCAAAGTGAGGCGTGTGCTTAAGTCTGGAGTTAAAACCTTTTTGTATACACAAAATTTTGGACTAGTTTACTCTTATAACTACATCTAAATTAGTTTCTATTTTATTTATTTATTTATTCTCTCCCTTATTTTTATTTGATCGTGACATTAGCAGTTTTAAAATCTCTCACTTTAAATAACCACTCATTATTTTTTTTTTCTCTCTTCTTTTAAATAGAGGTACAAAGTGCCTCTTTTCTCTATAGTTTAAATAACCTCAGTATTTGTGATAAAACTGACAAGAAAATGAATATTTTTATTAAAGAAAATGAGAGTTCTGACCCTACAACCAATTAAACTTCAATAAAACAAGTTTCTGCTTACCTTTTCTGTCTACCCTGCTCTCTTGTATACTGCCATTCACCCAATTTTCTCACTGATTACCAAATCCCCAAGCCACTTATCCCCATTCGGTTATGATAGTCTCTCTCGGTGCATAGAATATTCCACCTCATGTCCCTTTCTGTTATTCTTCATTTTCCTTTCTTAAACCCGCAAATCATTGCTTTTTTGGCATATCTAGTTTCCCCGTTTACAATGGGCATAAATATCAGTTGATTCAGTTTAATGCATATATTCATGTATTTTTCATTACAATGTCAACCATTGATTAGAAAATAAAAAATGTTTATATTACTCCCTAATTTTCCCTCGAAAGTGCACCATTGCTATAAAGTAGCCAAATTCAAAAAAGATTAAGAGATATCATCATAGTTCAAAAATTTCCAAAACTACAGAGCGGAGAAAACATCCTAAACAAACTTTTCTTATGAATGAAAAATGAGCAAAAGTAAGGCCTTAATAATAAAAAAAACAATAATCAAATAATATCTAGTATTTATTGGCATCTAAATAGAGAGGAACCACTTATGAATTACCCCTTATCTCCCTTTTCTCCAATAATAAATGAATAAAGATTTAATTACTCTTTCAATCCCTATAGTTTCATAAATTGTGTACCTTTTAGTCCTTACAGTTAAAAACGTTCCATTTCAATCCTTGTAGATACAATTTTTTTTTGCCTTTTAGTCCTTGTCATATATTTTATAAGGACTAAAATATAAAGTTTATGAAACTACAAAGACTAAAAAGAAACAAAAATAGTATGTATAAAAATTTAAATAAAGTATATTTAATTATAGGGAATAAAAAGGTAAAATTCATGAAACTATAGGATTGAAAGGGTAATTGAACAAAAAATAAAAAGTAAAAGGAGTACATAGGAGATGAGATTTATCATCCAGCTTTTATCCCCCACAAAACAGTACTCCAATGGTGAACTTTTCATTTCTCCGTTGTAGCAACATCCAAATGCAAACTATTATAACTAATTGAAACTGAAAATGGGGAATGTAACAAAATTCAAAAGTCTAATGCATTTCATCATACAAAATCATGATAATGAAGAGCAAGAAATCAATGATTTCAATTTTCAAAACTTGAAGCATAAAAATGTATTTGCTAGTATGCCATGTATTGTTGATGTGCTTAGTGAATCATACTCTAGATCCATCAAATTATCTCATTAGTAATAGAAAAAAATCTTTCAATGATTTTACATTATTGAGAGAGCATAGATAAATTGCATCAGATGCATACCAGACAAAGAACGTCTCATGTCTCCAAAACGCACACTGGTCCAAACACCTCGATCTAGCCTATGTTGAGCAGCCTTAGCTGATGCAATTTGTGAGCCACTGCAGTTAACGAACTTTAAAACTAGTTCTTATATAAACTAATTAAATTAAAATAAATAAGAGATGAGAATACCATCATATAAAGTACCTTTCTCCAACAAAATCAGACCTGTCAACACAGTTAGCAGCATTTGCTGCCCTTAAGAATAAAGTTTTGGTGTTATCGTGTTGAAAAGGCCAGAATGCATGCTTCAAGTCATTTAAGATCTGCACTTATTGGCCAAAATAAGTTTTAAAGTGAGACTAGAGGCTAAAGCAGCTAAAACAACATCATAGTAGTAGAAATTGACAAAGTTAAGAGTAACCCACTTATAAATAGTCAAACAAGCATAGCAGAATATGTAATTAAAGAAACCCTCAAATAAAAGAAAATAAAAATAAGCAAAGGTGCATGCTCCTCTGTATCCACTGTAGAAGAATTTGATGTCCGATATCCAGCATTCATTCATGCATAGCACCACCGCTTTTGGAATTTATTTAAGATATTACTGAAACAGCCAGACAGTGGAAAGAAGCTCTGCAAGTCCACAAAAATCTCGAGCATAGAATTGTTTTTGCTGTGAACACCCTTAAAAGGATGTTTCTCTCTTTTCGTTTTAAAAAATTAAAATGGCAAAGTTATTATCATAAGGGTGGCCCAGTACACAAGGTTCTCACCATTGTGGGGTATTACGAGGTTTATAAATATGCATCCATACCCATGTTGGAGATGTTTTGTCTCCGACCTGTAGAACTCATGATCCATGATCACTAGGCAGCAATATGTTTATGCCAGGAATTGTCCTCATAGTTCATGGGACAGATGAATAGTTGCTGCCATAAACTAGGAACAAGCTATGCAACTTTTTACAGTGGTAGAGATACAGTGCAAAGTGAAAGTGAATGGAGAGTCAACAATCAAAGATTACCTCAACTAAAAGGTTTCCTGAAGTCATTATGTGGGCTTGGTCTGACTCCTTGCTTTTCTGCTTGTGATAGCCTTTGGGAAGGGTAAAAGAATCATGAGGGTAGAAGATTTCAGCATCAAAATACAAAAGGCCCCACAAACGAAGCATTTTCATAATTTCAGAGTATATAAGTGACAGCATTGCAGCTGATCCTGAACGATGAGTCAAAACCTGCTCAATACATCAAAGTAAATCTATCAAATGTCTACCACTCAGATTTCTCTTCAGAAACAACTTGTAAATATGAGTTATATCTTACCGAGTGGAGATAAAGTGCTCGTGGCTCCGATAGATTTGAAGTGGCTCTTCTGAAACCCTATTAACGAGAAAGTGACCAGTAAAAGGAAAGTTCAGCAAGCTTCAGAACCCTTAAGTAGTTACTATAGAAATCTTAGTATATACCTTGTGATCATATAGAAATCTCTCTAAGCTCTCTAAAAACTTCTCAGGCAGTGAATCATATTCACGGCTGTAGTGAGGACAGTAGTCCATTGAAAGATCATCTAATCTTGTAATGAAATCATCCACGGGAAGTGGAACTGATGAATGTGACACCAAAGAATCATCCTCTGCAGCTATGTTGAGCACAGTTCTCCCTAAATCAACACACCTGTTGATACAAATGCTAGTTTCCTTCTCAATATCCGTAAATCTACCAATTTGTGTGCAGAATTGCTCTCTAGCTTCCTGCTCATTCACCCATGATGCAACAAATGAGAATGAATTTCATCAAAAACACAAAAATAAATTTCAAATGCATCAACATACACCCGTTTCCATCCCACCAAACTCCGAATATGCTTCTAATTAACGTGACAATCCAATTATACACACTAAAAAAAGGGAACAAGCTAATCTCAAACTTGTAGTGTGTTTTGTTTCACGCTAAATACAAAATAACGTGATTCTACGAAATGTCAAAATGTTTGATCTTGCGTTGAAAATTTGATTATAGATAAGAATTGACGTTGACTTCAACTTTGAATAATAAACACACCTAGTTTCAAATCATCAAATAACACATATTAAAGTAAGCCACATAAAATTACCACGACACAACTTTCCATCAAAACAAAGTCAAAGATGCTTCAGAATTCAGATTGTAACATAACAAATCAAATTACTCACGGAATACGGTTTGCTATTTAACCAATTACAATTTTACAAAACAAAAAACAAAAAAAAAAATCGAATGAAACTGTGAAGCTGAAAACATTAAAATAAATAAATAAATAAAATTTGATGAATATGAATACTCTGGCATGGGTGGTGTCGATTCCAGAAGCATCGAGCGCGTCGTGCAAGACGAAGTTGTGGTGAGTGGCAGCGCGTTGAGCATTGGAATTGGATCCGACGTGGCAGACGAGGCGAGAGGAAGAAGAAGGGGAAGTGAATGGGCGAGGGTAGAATTGGAATTTGGAAAATAAAGAGCTGATTGTAGGAAGAGTGAATGAGCACATGGTGTTTGGATTTCTGAAAGTGTTTGTGTTTAGAAATCTGAATCAGTGACAGTTAAGTAAGCAGCAACTACTACTTCTCTCTCAGCACATGGATGAGATGATAAATTATAAAAGCCAAAGCACTACGGGTAACCTTAATGACAATAACAATACGGCCAAACACATGTAGATATTTATTTTCATCAGATACTCAATTTTACACACTAATCCAAGGATAACACTAGGGATGGCTGAGGCGGGTAATAATAAACTTGTTTTTATCTTGTTAGATAAAAATTAGTATCATACTTATTTCATATCCGTGCGGATATTCATTAAGTGAGTATTCATGAATTTCTTGAATACTCATGGATATCCATGGATATTTATAAATTTTTTAAGAAATTAAAAAAAATATATTATAAATAATTTTAAGTTTATATTTAATGTAATTGAAATATTAAAAATAAAAATTCAATGTTAATTTTGAACTTGTATTTAATGTTAATTTTGTTGAAATAATAATAAAAATGCAAGATAATCAATAACATAAAATATATCAATCTCACAAGTAAGCGAAAGTCTCGTATCACAAAACTATAATAATTTAATCTCATAATTCCAAATGAAAGTAAACAACTTAAAATACATAAATCTTATTGGTCTAATCAAAGTTAGAAAATTAATCAAATACATCCAACATAATTCTATAACATGCTTAACACATGTTGGTAACTTCATCAACCTCACTTTTGTAAGAAAATAAGATGAGAGAGTGTAGTTTTAGAGTTATGTGGCACAAGGATAATGATAGACCATGGGCCAAGGGCCCAGTTACCAGAGC